TGTAAGACAAAGCAGAGAGGGCTTAATAAGCTGTTTGGACACTGCATAGCTGAAGGTGGTAAATGAACATCACTTCATTGTCTTTGCTACTTCATAAACAGAGGACTGCACTGACATTATGTTTAGCCTCCCTCAACAGAAAAGAAAGTGGACTGATATGACACTTTCTTTAAAAATGCAAAGAGAAGAATGTTTGCATTCACTTAAAAGAATTAATATCCTAGACTGCTGACTGATTGAACCTTTAAAATGTAATTTGAAAATGGAAATGTTAGTATAGCATGCCTTTATTGCCAAGGGTTTTTAGGAAGAGTTGGTTTGGATATTTTCCCTTTTTCATATTGACACTGGTACTTTTATCAATTTAAGCACACTAACATTAAACCACTAAAAGGCATGTAGGTTTCAATAAAATTCATTTTTTATATCTTCAGCCCATATAACTAAATGAGCTGCTTTAACTTTTTTTAAGCAGAAAAGATAATAAAGTTAAATGAAAAGTCCCAGAGCTTAGTTTTAAGACTAAATAGTATTTTAGATGAAATAGTTAAAGAAAGCAGAGTTTGTAACTCTGAGATAAAGATAAAGGTTTAAATCTGTCTTTATATTATGAGGATTCTTCTTGGAGCTGCAAAATTGATAAACACACTTCCAAGTCTCACTGGTGTGAGCTGCTACGAGCTACCTGTGAGTCAGACCAGAGAAGCTGTTATGGAAAGAGCATTTGATGAAGACTGGGAATTGGAGTATCACCCCCAATTGTACCACTAGCATGCTGGGAGACTGTGGACAAGTTGCTTCTGTACTTCTGCTTTCTGATCTGCAAATGGAAGATAATAGCGTACGCTTCTAACGCAAGATCTGCTGATCCCTAAATAAGAGATATTGTAAGCTTGCCTATCATTTTGCCAGTTCAGTTGGTTTCTTGAAATAGCTTGTGTTAAGATGAGAGAAAGTTAAGAACAGAAAGCAGTACCAGGCAGAAATAAGTTTATTTGAAGGGCTTGTAATGAAGAAAGGAAAGTATTCACATAACTACAGGATGAATTAAATAGTGATTAAAGCAGTAAAGCTTTAATCTATTAGTGTGCACACCTAATAGACCATAAACAACATGAAAGAAACACACAGCAGCAATAAAGACAGAGTTATTAAGATATTTAAAAAACACCACTTAGGGCAGAATGGTGCACTGCCAGAAAATGTGTGCGTTTACAAATGTACTTGCACATACCTGTGTGTGCATGCATATTCAGAGTTATGCAGAAAGAGAAGAGAAATATCTAACAGCCTTTAGGTTGGAAAGAAACTTCAGGAGTCAGATTCTCTTGGTGGTACTTCACTTCTTCACCCATCCAATAGAATGCAATTCACAAACGAATTAGGGCTGTGGAGAGGGAAGATTAAGCCTGATTCTAGCTTGCAAAATTTTGTTCTAAAATCACTGCAGTATGCAATTATAAATACATATAATTAGGTGACTTAGATTTCATGAAATGACCCAAATGCTGCTTTCTGCATGACTTGCCTATGCAACAAAAATATGCAATGTAAACTAGAAATAAATGACTCTGAGTATTAAAACTAGTCTAAGAGTGTTTGTTTAGGAAATAAAGAAAAAGCAGTCACAAATTTGGCTAATTGTTCTAGAAGACAGAATTACTGATGTTTATATCAAACAAGATGCTCAGGAACTAATGCATTTTTTCTCCCAAATTTGTATCTCAGTTAACCATCAACTCTAAATGCATATTTCCTTGTTGTAAAGACATTTCTAAGGCCTCTTCTCAAACAACTCTCTAAACACCTTTAAAATCAAAACCAACTTTTTTTGCAGCCTTCTCTCCAGATAGATACTGAGTAGCTATCTCATCTCCACTTCCCCTCAGGTGACATCCAAGAAAACTGCTTGACATGATTATCTTTCAGTACTCCATTCCTGTATTCAAAAGTTATTTGTTCAAAAGCTATTTGGATGATCAGGAAGGAGGAGAAGGAGGGTGATGAAGGTGCAGAGACATGGAAAGGAAATTAGACAAACTTAATTCCTTTGGAACAAAATATTGCCCCCATATGTTCAGGTGATCTCAAAAACCTCCTTGACATAGAACTTCTGCAGAGTTGACTGATAAATCAGAGTAGAAATTTTATCCATTCGGTATAGCAGATCAATGATAACTTATTCTCCAACCAGTGAAGGAACATCCATTTCAAATACCTCAGCTACTCACAGTTGAATTTTATCCAGACAAACTATGTCACAGGATTGTGAATCCACGGCATACTCTGAATGCAATTTAGTTCTCAGCTTAACATATTGCTACTCAGAAAGAGCAGTAAGCACATCATGACTGTGGTATCATTTTTTTAAAGATACTAAAGAGATACATTCCTTGTTTAGCTATTTCAACTATAACTTATGAGAAAACAGATTTGTAATGTCTCTTTGTCATATTTCTCTTTGACAAATACTTTGGATAAGCAAGACAGAGTGGGAAAAAAAAACAACTGGTGTTACACATATTTTTCCTGGAACCAGTAAGGCATATTCCACCTAGTTAATACTCTCAGTTAAAAGGAAAGCTTTTATGATATTTTTTCCAGAAGGAAAAAAATTCCACTTTGTGACATGCAAGTTTGTACTTGAGGTCAAAAAAACTACATGCAGATGAAGAACTCCTTCTTTATCTTACCACTTGACATTTTTTATGGCAGAATGTTACCAATAAAAACCCCCAAATTAAGTGCAAATTTAAGTATTTAAAGTGGCTAGAGTTTCAGAGGAGCCAAGAGGTTGCATCCATAAACTGAGGATAGTGTATTTTGCAAGTGCTCAGAATCTCTGTGCTATTGGGAAACCAGACATCAAGCTATGCATTGCATTACAAGGACATTCTGAAGAACCGTTAATCACCTACTAACAAATTATACTCAATGCTTCTGAACAAAGGGCAAATTGGAAACCAAACTTGTGATTTATACAATTGTAATACAGTTTTGTATTCCATTTGTTTAAGTTTCACATTTTATCTGCCTGAGTCAACGACCTTATATCAGAGAATGCAGAAGACCAAAAATAGAAATGCATGATGCTGTAGCTAGTGTGCATTAATCAGCTGATAATATATTGTTATGTTTGATGGAATAGACACTGTAAACAAGAAGCAGCTAGGATTAGTGAACATGGTACTTAGTTTTAGAAAATTAATCTGTGTTACTTTTTACATGTCCAAAAAACTCGTATTTAAAGCACATCTCTTATATGTAACGGCATGAAAATATAACTGAATGGAAATCTTAGGTTTAGTGCATTACTGCAATGACACTCTGGCTTGTTCTCTGGAGAATATCATCCAGGATTACAATGCAGTATCCTTTAGCCAACACAACACGGCTTTATAACGAGAGTGGTCAAAGAACTCAAACTTCTACAAATAGACTACTTATTGTTGAAACCTATCTGTAGCTGCCATGTTCCCATTGCTCTTATTTTAACCATACATTGATTATTCATTATAAAACATGTTGTGATATCTTAAAAAAATTCCCTCTAAAATAATAGCTGGGATTCGATAATGAACAAAATTCAGGAAACATTCAAGTTCTCCTTCGTTCTAAGGGTATTTCTGTTAAGAAGAAAGCACCTTACTTGCCAAATTCAAACCAAATCCTCGGCACATCTGTTCCAATGGCACTTATTATCACTCCCATTCTGGATGGGAAGACACTCCTCTGAACCCTTGTGATGATAAATTATAGGGGAAAAGAAAATAAACTATCATACAAAGAGTTTCCTGGCTCACAGCCAAACAGATAAGTGTATGGTGAAACCTTCCCATATCTGTCTATACTGATGAGGAAAATAACTCTGATGAACAACAGTGTGTATTGAGATGCAACCGCAGATGGGCACTGTGCAACAGCACTCCAAAATGTCCCATGGACATTTATTTCCTTTAGAAGAACATGACATTTCAAAACAGCTTAAGGAAAAAGTGGTTAATTTTTTATCAGCCTGGAGTGAGGAAAGAAGAAAGAGAGAGGGGTATTGGCATTTCCATCCCTTGCTGTTTTGGTGGAGTACGGTGATCTCAGAAAATCAGACATCTTTCTTATCCTGCTACAATGAAAATGGGAAAAAAGGAGGTTTACGCATATTCTTCCATGTTGTGCTGTTTTAATTTGCTTACATGTCTCTTGCCCTCACTTCAGGTAAGAGGATGCAGCAGATATTTCCTCTCTTTACCCACAGGTGAAGAGCAGAAGAGAGAGGTCAGCCCTTATGAATGACTGTTCCACTGGGAGGAAAGGGCAGCAATTCCAAGAGCACATCTGCTACTGACCCACCACATTTGAAATTCCTAAGGAATTTTAACTTTTCATCTCAGAGAGACAAAACAAGTGGGCCTCCGAAACTAAACTGTGGAACGGGAGGCAGAACGTTGCCTTCCTTGCCTTTCAAATGAAATGAGCTGCTGACAACTCCATATGGCTCCTTTTAAGTTTTGTGCGCTCCTTGCTCTGCAAAGGCTCCCTTTGATTCCAGGGGAACTGTTTGCAGAAGGAGGTATTGCTTACCATATGTAATATTGGCAGGATAAGATTCCCTCTCTCCATCTCACCTTTGGATGGGGAGAGAAAGGAGATGAACATCAAAGCTTAGTGTGCCAAGTCTTGAAAATATATTTACATGCCAAAGTGGGACTCTTTCTTTGAACACCAACCACAACAGCTCTTCTGTACTTTGGGTAGTTCATTAACAGAAATCAATGCAAGCTGCCTTTTAAGAAAGCCAACACTTGTTCATCGACACACTTTATAATTCCTTTTAGCAGAAGCATCAATGCTTACAAGGTGTGCAGTAAATTATGGCAAAACTGCAGAATGGCAAGGCTACAGAAACTATTTACATTTCAGTGTAAACTTATAAGATTAACCTAAATACATTGAGAGAAAGAGTAATTACTAAGAACCAGAGACAAAAGATTTGTTGTCTTTACCTGGAGGCCCTTTTTCTCTATCTTTTTCTGGAGTATCTGAAGACACTTGGTGAAATCTGTGAGGTCCTGATCCATGGTCTCAATTAACTCACATCCCTAGTGAAGGAAGCAGTAAAACAGAGAGAGAAAAAAAGTCAATCATTTTTCAATTTTGAGAACTAATGATGTCTTTGGTGAATTTAACTGCAGTCAATAACTCAGAGTCTCTGCATGGAGATGCAGAATTAAGTAAAAGACTAGTACCCTTACAGAGCCCAAAGACTGTAGGTCCCAGCTTAACAAGTTACTATGAAATAGCAGTTTGATGGCTAAAGGAGTAGATATTCAAAACCCATTGAGTACCTTTGTGCCTTTGGATAAGCATGTTTTATGATGCTCTGCTGGATGAGCAAGTTCTGGTGTAGCAAGCCCTGAGTGATCAGTAACTTCCATGAAAATGACTATTCTCTCTGATGCTGCTACAAACATACAAAAGTGTACAAGTTTCCAGACCCCAATGCAGTTTTAGAAGTTAATTTGCAGTGATCCAACAGTGATTTCCTTGCAGTGGGGTACTATGGATGAGAGCATGTTAAAGTAGAGAAGAGCAGGAGTTCAGATTTCTTAATTAAGAACTAAAGCAATTCCTAAGCCTCTGAAAAAAAGCTGAGTAAGGAAAAGTGGAGTGCTTCTACCACATAAAGTCACTATTCAAAGAGGTTTCAAGAACACAAAATACCAAGTAAAGCATTGTAAATTAAAATAAAAACCATACACGCTGCATTTAGAGGTTCCCTTTTGTACCACAAGGTTACCTTAAAAGCCTTTTATCTTTGACTTACCTGACGGATTTAATTTTCTCCTATAGACAATAACAACTGATAAGAGAAAACATTCAGACTATATAATCTTTGTACGTGTGCCTGTGTTTATAAACTGCATTATTTTATTACATCAAAAAAACCCAACCCAATGCAAACAAAACCCATAAACCAAAACCCAAAACCAAAAAAACCCAAACAAACCCCCTCCTCCCAAAAAACCCCAAACCACAACCAACAACCAACACCAAATTGTTGAAGTTGCATCTACATTAGTTGTGAAAATAAAGGCAGAGAAGACAAAACTTCCCAGATTAGTGAATTCATGGAGTTTAGTGAATTGCATGCAACAATGTAAAAGCCTCCAATAGGAAAACATACACTATCACCGAGGTGCTTCCCCACACAGTCAGAATGCATATAAAACCAAATAAAGCCATAATGCAGAAGGAGCTGCATTTGGATGAAGTAGAAGAGGTAAGGGAGGAGAAGATAATGAAATTTTTTTTATTATACCTCTTCTCCTCCCTCCTCAAAAACTTCTGAAAGGAAACATAGTCAAAAGTAATAGCCTTTCTGATACCTGATACTGCCCTAAATATCTTTTCAGGCTTGCCTGGATGAAGAGTCATATTGCTGCAACAGCACATGTAATCAGAGGCCTCCACTGCAGACGTGATGCTGTTGCCCCCACAAAAGGGTTAGGGAAAATGTAGCTGGATCCTGGACTCAGTGCTAAGCATGAAACAACCTGAAGAGCTGTCACATCTCCACTCTTCACTAGGAAAGGTAAAAGGGTAATTGGCAGGAGAAGAAGGGACACAAGCCATCTGGACCCTATAATGAACATGTGAGTTTGGCAACACCAGCCAGAGACACCAAGGGAGCCAAGGAAAGGTATAGGGGTGTTCAGGACCACCCAGAAAGCTCATGGTTGGATCTGAAAACTACTAAAGGGGATTTGTTAATCAAAGCCACTCTAAATGAAAAGATGTTTCATTCACTAAGGATGGGGTGCTCTCAGACAGTCTCAATATCAGCACTGATGGTGGGAAGAGACACCAAGCTGTGAGAAACTTTGAACAGACAGAACCTCCTCAGTCTTTCTCAGACAGCCGCTGAACAGCATGAGAACATGACAGATAAAGAGTAAATCAATGGCAGGGACAGCTACTGCTGAGCATGGGAGAAGAGACACAACCTCAGTTACCAGCTCTTAAATTGGCAGTAGAGAAGGAAGGTTTTTTGTCTTTTGCCAGGGCCATTCCTTGGCTTCACAGCATTGGCAGAAGTAAGCATTTTATAGGTACCAATTTATAAATAAAAAATTTAACCTCCACTCTCCCTCAGCACTTTGAAATACTCCTGCACTCACTAACAAGCCTAATCTCCTTGAACAGGTAGGTTTTGGCAGCTGCAGGTAGGCTGCAATTCTGCTTTCCACACAGGGAAGACCAAAGTGCCAAGTTCTATCTTTTTTTTTTTTTAAGTGATGATCTAAACCAGCTTAAATTATTTTATTATTTTATGCTACTATTAAGAACATTTCACTTGAGTTCCATTCTTGCCCAGCTTCTCAGGATGTTCTTTGATAAGAAAAATATTCTAAAGCAACTACAAAGTACTACCAAGGCAAGATAACATTAGCATGGTGGTTGGAGAGCACTGAAGGTCATTTACCACAGTCCAGAAGAAAGGTGTGATGTACCACACAAAGAAAACATATGTTCAGACCTGCTACTGTCTTTTCTGCGTATTCACCATAAAAGGCCTCAAATACCCATCACAGAAACCCAACCTAGATATGTGGATGGGACGTCAAATGCACAGTTCATTAAAGGCACATTACTGTACCCACAATATCAGTACCAAGAATGTACTGTGGCTTAGGAGGGGTATCCTGAAACTGCTTACTCACTGCTTGTTACCTTTGGTGCTTTATACAAGTACTGTTGTAGATCATCATATCAAAAAATGTTGATAGAGTGTTACCATTAAATCCACAACTTCCTTAAAATTAAACTGTGATTTCTCATTCTCTTTCCACATCGAACAGATAACCAGTTCTGGAATTGACAGAGATTTTAGAACTGCTCCTTTTGCCACAATGTCAAAGAGACTGGTATGGCCAGATCGAACTGGGGGTGGGGACAAGCAGCAGCACTTGCATCATCCTGTGCCCTCTTTACAGCCTTGTTGGAATTAATGTCTGTGCAGTTTGTGTTCACTCATGGTTTAAGAGCTTCAGATAAATCTGTTGCTCTTGATATATCAAATCCAATATTTTATGCCACGAAATTGGATGACAATTGTAATGCAGTTCTTTTCAACCTCCACTGCATTATTCTGGAATGACAAAAATCTTCAAGACAGAGCTACCCACTGCAGCCAGAGTTTAATGAAAGGACAGTATAACAATGGCAAGATAGGCAATAATGCTTGTAGTTTTATAGATACCTGCTCAACTTAATAACATTAACCTTTTGTAAGAAAGTTAAAAAGCCAAACAAATTTAACGTTAGGAAAGGTTAGAAAAATCAATACCACACAGCAGGAGTGAACACAATAGATTGCATCTGATGACGATATAGCTTTGCTGAATGATAGGATGAGGCACACAATATTAGGCTTTGGCTGTTCTGTCTTATTATAGCAGCTATGGGAGGCACATTGCTAAAGAAGGAGGAGTGTGTCAGACACACATAATAGGATTATTGAACCCTATATTTCAGACAGACACTGAATTTAGACAGGCACTGAAATGTCAATCTGAACATTTCAGGATTTCTCCAATTTTTAGAAATGTTGCACATCACAGTACGTTGTGTGTTTGGAGAAAGCAGTGTGCAGTTGTCCACTCTCCCATGTTCTTCTTAACCTTTTATTAAGAGAAAGTTATCCTTACTCTTTCTCTTATCTTTCTGAGCATGAGAATATAATTAGAACACATAAAATATCCTAATGTGTACTCTATCTCCAAGATCTTCATACAACAAGATATTCGAGACTATTTTTGAAGCCTGTATCTGACTGTGCTCACTGAGTGCACCAGTGACATTCAGTTCAGTCCTCTGACAATTCCTGTGCACTGAGGCTCAATTTTGAGGTATCCATCTCAAACAGATGCACTTATGTATAGTGTTAATGGCAGACACAGGAAAGACAGATATCCTCAGGTTGAAAGAGAAGAAAGGAGACAGCCTATAGCGCCTCTCAAAATCACGGCACAGACAAACAAAGTCTAAGAAACCTATAAAAACTAATGTTATCTCTAAACATGCTCCTTCCCTAGATTTTACCTACCCAAATAGTAACGAACCCACTCAATCCTAATATCTCACTGACCAACTAAGTAAGAACTATAGATTCTCAGCACTATTTCGGTTGGAAGGGACTTTTCAAAGTCATCTGGTCCAACCTCTTGCTCAGAGTAGGACAGATTTGCTCAGGTTGCTTGAAGCCCTTTCCAGTCCACATTTAGCACCTCCCAAGATGGAGACTCCAATTCTCTGGGCTTGGCCACTCTTGTGGTGAAATTTTCTTTCCCAATGCCTTTCACTGAGATCTCCTGTATTGCAAATTGGGGTTGTTGCTTCTTTTCCTGTCCCTACTTAACTTAAAGGAGAGTCTCTTTCTATTTTCTCTCTGCCCACCCATTAGGAAGTTTGACAGCAATACAATCTGCTGTTCACCTTGTCTTCTGGAAGCTGAACAAACCAGTTTACTTCAGCCTCTTCTCACACATCATGTGCTCTAAACTTCCCTAAAATACATTTCCCTCATTTGTGCTTTATTGGCATGCAGTATTTCCACCTCTAAGAGCTTGAAGAAGTCAATTAACAGTAAGGAGGCAGAGGGTTCCTAGTTATCTCTTCCTTTTAATTTCTGGCCCCAGGGAATTTCATTTTGCCTCTCTGGTATCCTCTACCTCTTTTGCCTACTCAGAGAATAACTCCAAACCTCTGCATTCTTCATATACTATCTTCAGTTACCCGAATATTTTGAAGCCTCAAACATTTTCATACCCAAATGTGCAGACAAGTATTTACATTCTGAATTGGACTCCATGGAACTGATACTGAAAAGCAACTCTAGGGAAAAGCATACATGGATGCAAGCAAGAGATGCTGTTCTATACAGAATGATGAACAGAAATGAACTGCAGGATCTGACTGGGGGTCTTGGATAAGGCCTAGCAAAGAAAAAAAAGCATGTGGATGCATAGCCAAACAAGTTTAACAGATAACAGACATCTACTCATCTGTAATAGGAGGGTGGTGGTGTGAGACCAGAGCA